ATATACTGTACCAATAAATTCCTCTTCAAAAACAAAAGATAAAATGGACTCATTTGCCTTGTGCCTATGTCCATTCCTCTGTGTGTGTGTGTGTGTGTGTGTGTGTGATGGTGTCTTCCTCGGGGACAGATGGACAGATATCTCACATCCGCACTGAGGCAAGAAACTCAAGCAGGCCCTGGGGAAGGGCTGTCCTTTTCATTAGAGGGTGAGAGAACAAGCCAAGTCTGCCAGCTCTGTTTCACCTGCCCCTCTCTCCTTCACTGTCTCCCCCACCACCACCTCTCTTAACCCCCCCTGCCCCCTGAAGCAGCATGTGCCACTTTACTCCAGCACCACACTGTGGTTTGTAACAGTTTAAACTGTCACTACCCATCATCCCCTTCTAAAAGCCTCTCCATCTTAAAAGCGGGGCAGGATTTCAGTCGTGAGCCGGTCCTGGTGTCATACCTGACGTCACCAGCGGAGGAAGAGTCGGATGTAAATCCCTGTTGCAGTAGTCCTGATCTGTGCAACACTCCAAAGCTCTCCTGGAACGTGCCTTCCCCGTATCCTGTCGCACAAATACAGTACATACAAACACAAAGGTCACTCAAAGGTCAAGGAGATGTATTTCGATGCACGGCAGAGAAACAGAGTCTAACAATGACGTACAGCAGAGCTGGTGCGCAGTCGGAACATTCTACAACCAACACGGCAGACTGGACGGGTTATGATTTAAACCAGGGGGCGCCAAACTCACACGCCACATTCAGCCTAATTGGATTTCAAGTGGGCCGGACCAGTACAATCATCACCTAATTACTTATAAACAACAACAACAACAGTCCATGTTTTTACCCTTTTTCATGCAAAGAAGTACAAGTGTAGAAAATAAATCTTCATATTTAGTGAAATATAATTTTACAGAATACCTTTCAAAATTTCTCAAGCAGGCCAGAAAAAAAACCCCCTAGGGGGCCGGTTTTGGCCCGTGGGCCGTATGTTTAACACCCCATGATTTAAACACATCTCAGAACAAAAAGTAGTGTCAATATTTCATTTCAAAATACGGTGTCAAAAAACCCTCTATATATTGCCGTGTCTATAGTATCGCTGTAAAAACCCTCTATATATTGCCGTGTCTACTGTATATCGTTATACAGGATCTGTATAACTTATCGTTATACAGATCCTCACTGATACACGGCCCAAGAGATGACACAACTCGGACACACTGATTGGCTCATTAAGAAATGAACAGACACACAGCTCTGACGTACCCTGCACTGGAACTCAGATCCAGCCAATCCTAAACAACCTGCGGTCAGGACCACCACTCCCCCCTCCTCCTCCTCCACCATGGTGAAGCAGTAGCCGTTTGTTCTACCGAAACAAACACAGTTAGAGAGCATTAAATGGATAAACTTAATTTTTAATTTTTTTTTTTGCGTTGAGTCGCGGCCTCACATGCAGGTGTTGTTGACGGAGTTCTCAGGACAGTGGTGGTTGCAGTGACACAGGAGAATGTTCTGAGGGAAAACTGTGTCCGTGCTGCTGTTGCTCTCGTCCGTCCTTCGCTCGGATCCGTGTTTCCATCCATTCCTCAGCAACATGGTGTCCAACATGTTGGCTGTGACAGAGAGAGAGAGAGAGAGAGAGAGAGAGAGAGAGAGAGAGAGAGAGAGAGAGAGGGAGAGAGACATTGAGCTGTGTGTTGTACTAAAATGTCTGGACACTCTATAGTTTCAATCAATTGCAATGAAAATAAACCTCAAGCAAACACACCTTGAAAAACAGCAGCTGTTTCAAATCAAAAGCATTGCTCAAAAAAAAAATTTTGCCCAAAAATTTTCGTCAACATTTTTCACCATCTGACCACATGAGATCTGAAACTATGATTCTGCCAAAAACAATTAAAAACATTTTTCTAAAATAATTCTCAAAATGCTCTAATTTAATGAAAAACATGCATAAAAGATATAATTTTGATTATTTTTCTTGAAAAACTTTTCATTATAATTTTTCACCATATGACCAAGCACATGACACAAAATTTTACTGGGATTTTACTGAAAAATTCACAACACTGTTTTTAACCTTCCTTTAACAAAGGAAGGGGTAAATTTCACACAGACACTGCAGTGGACAGTACTGGGAGTGAAGACAGCAGCTTGTCTCCCAAGGTCACTGTGGTGAGATAACAGACTGTGTCCCACATCTCTCATGCCCAATTTATACAGTACATCAAAAAGTCCTCGTCAACAACAACAAGCTGCACGGTAAACAATATCTTAATATCTTGTTTGTCAGTGAAAGTCAGAGGAGGTTTATTCCTCAGAATTAGCCGTAAAATACACACATGTAATTATAATTAACGGCAAAGTTGCGTCATTCTGACGTGTTCAGGAGAGTCAACAATACTGTGAATGGACTTAGTCTCGGTGCAGCAGCCTGTGATCAAAGACCTGCATCAAAGATTACTGCAGTATAAACACTTCCTTAAGTGTTACTCTGTGTCCTTCCACCCTAATCTCCCACTGTCCCTGTGAGAGGGGAAGTTTGTGGAGGTGTTCTGCTCCTCCCACACCACGGCCTTGGTCTGTCCAACCCATCTGGGTCTGCCAGTGAGAGAACGAAAAACAGAGGAAGACAGGAATGATACACAGATGTCTCTCTGGTCTACTGTACGGCTAAAGGTCACAGAGCTAATGTCGGCGTAGGTTCTCAGTCGTCCAGGTCATTTAATCCAAAGATAGTTACATCGAGGACAACTGGAGGCAGTAGCTTTTATTTTGAAGACATTCCACCTCTCATCCTAGAGGCAGCTAGAGGAATTGCAGAAGCCTCTCGGACGAGAGGTGAAACGTTACAGTTGCCCTTGATGTAGCTATCTTTGGATGACAAAGCTAATGTAACTCTTGGAAACGCTGTAATGATAAAGCTAGCCAAAGCGGTGGATTCCCTGAGAGACGAGACTGACATAAAATCACAACATTTATCTTAGATCAGTGGTTCTCAAACTGTCTCTAACAGTGAAGGCCTCTGCTGCTGTATTCTAATGTTGGTCATCATGGTGGTACTCAGAGAGATCAATGTTTTCTCAGGTGGTACAGAGTAGAAAAAGTTTGAGAACCACTGCTTTAGATTGTTTAGACGTGATCCTAAATTTCTATTTCAGACAAATACACAAATACTTCTTGAGAAGCCACACCAGTTTCACCCAGATGACGTGACTTAAAAATAGTTCTGAAGTGAATTTTTGTCACTGTGACTCAGGACACCACTGCACACAACGGAATGTGTCCTCCGCCTCTAACCCAAACGGCTGCGTATATCGGTATCAGCTGATATCGGAATCGGAAATTAAGTGTTCGATCAATATCAGATATCGGCAAAAAGTTAATATCGTACATCTTCACTAATGGAGTGGTAACATATGGTTCTTGAACACACAATACTGTGTCATTTGCAGAAATCGTCGGCTACAACTGTTTGTCTTTAGATTTATCTTTTTCTGTTTTTTCTTGGTAATTCCCCAAATTTACAGTTTGGAGTTTAGACTGAAATCACAGGAGGTTTTTTTAGAAAATGTAAAATGATGTACGATGATGGTTTCCTCTAAGAGTCCATTTAAACCAAGTCACCCTGTAAATAGTGATAAACACTGAGATGTGTTAATACGTCACGGTTTATTACTGCAGCCCAGACGTGTCTCCGTCCGTGACAGAAACAGTTCTTTGTCCAAACTCAAACTGAATTATTGTTTTGTCTGTGTTTTTTTTTTACTGTGGGTCAAAAAAATGGCCATAAATGAGTAAAAGGCCAGCGTGTAACCCAAGTCTGGGGCCCACGTGGACAGGTGACCTGGGTTACATATTAGTACCGAGGCGGGGACAGAAAGAGTCTTTATGTCAAATGTTTTTGAAGGTGAAATATTTTTCAAATATACTTTTTAATAACGTGACTGAGATCAGTGTCCACGGTGGAGCAGTGGCTGTTCAACAGACTGTTTAAGAAGCCGAAAGGATGTAAAGTCAGCGGGGGTCCTGAGGGAGGGGGTGGTCTTTGTTACACACACACACACACACACACAGATCTGTTTCTACAGAACCGACACGGTTGTCACGGTGACAAGAACAAATAATCAACCAATAAAGAAACAGAGTTGGTTGAATATGAGATAAAATGACAACATCTGATGTTGACACATCGCACTGTTCTCAAACAAACAAACACACACACACACACACACACACACAATCTTGCTGTGTCAGCTACAGGGCACACTCAAGGTCATCCTGAAATCGGATCTTCATCCCCCACACATTCCACAGGCTGCTCCTCAACCTACACACACACGCAGAAAAAAACACAACAGAACACACTTCACACTTGTGCCAACATTGCAGGTATAATCGACAGCAGAAAGTTAGTTCATCAGTGATTTGTCTGAGACACTGAGATGTGTGTGTGTGTGTGTGTGTGTGTGTGTGATGTCACTTTTGAAGAACACTGTGAAGTTTTTCCCTCCACTGAGGAGATGCAGACGATCAATGAAAACCCTGTTATAATGATGGGCTTTATTTTCCCACTCGGAGTTAAACTGGGATCAATGGCAGATAGAATTCCAGATGTGGAGACGAACGACGACCAATGGGATCAGAGACAAATATTGACATACATTGTTATTTTATATCTGTAGGAAAC